GATCCCAGGACCCTGGGATCATGACCTGAGCTGAAGGCAGACACTTAACGACTGAGCCACCCAGCCGCCCCTGGTGAACTGTTTTTTTTTAAGATTTTATTTCTTTGTTAGAGAGAGAGAGCACAAGCAGGGCGAGAGGCAGAGGGAGAGGGAGCTGAGCTGGGAGCCCGATGTGGGGCTCGATTCCAGGACCCTGGGATCATGACCTGAGCCAAAGGCAGACACTTAACCACTGAGCCACCCAGGAGCCCCCAAAATCTGCTATTCTTAAGCTATGAATAATATGTTAAAGATTGTCATCATCTTCGACTTTTCCAAAGTTTTTCCAATAGAACAAATAAACCCCATAATTTAGGGAAGAGGGAGGACTGGTTGTTGCTAGTAAGAAATAAATAAATACCTACATACAGACACACACACAGGCAGGCAGGCAGCTTTCAAATTGTTTTGAAAGAAAAGAACTTCATTGATTATCTGAACTAGGGTTCTAAGAGAAATATAAATTAACGCAGTGAATATAACATAATGAATATTTTTTAAAAAATTAGAATGTCACAAATTGTAACAGTAACAGATAACTTACTGACTCTTGAGTGGCATTTTGCATGCATTATCTTATTTTAGGAATTCCAGGTTTTTAAGAATATGTGCATTACTTCATAGCAATGGGAGCCCTGGCTTTAATAAAAAAAAAAAAAAGGTTTTGTATAGTCTTTGGGGGAATTGTGATTACTATTTTTAAATCTTACTATTTTCTAGTCACACGCCATTCAGGGAGAGGTGAGGTGAGTTTATCTCCTAGGAAAGTACTTGTGTAAAATGGAGCCCACTCTGTCTGGAAACACTTTCTCCCACCACACTGAATTGAGAGCGCCCCCAATCCTCTCTCTTGCAGGCAACTTCATGAGCTGGAAGCTCCTGAAGGCACACACCAGCTCAAAGATGGCATTGATTATCAGCTGAGCTGAGCAAAGATGGCACCTCCTTGCAATCGAAGAATGGAAATACCTGATTTTACCCAGTGTGATCATCCGGGTAGCTTGGCCGGGGACAATAATAGTAAATGAGCTAATGCACCGGCCTCTGATCAAAGTGGAAAGGCATGACTTTTTTCTCATGAGGAAGCCAGTAAGACAGGCTGTAGACCAAGGCCAGCATGGGAACAGACGGGAATGAGGTAAATTCCCGACGGGAGTTACCTTCATCGGTGGAAGCTGTCAGCTGGGAAGGCTGCAGCAAAGCATGGTCAGCTTCAGGACCAGGAAAGGAGCTTGTGAACAGAGACATCTGAGGAGAGTGTCCTAGGAGCACCGCCTGCTCTTCTGTGGAGGTAAAAGAGAGGTCGCCGCTCTTGTCACCTGAGCCCTGGGCAGAGTCTGCAGGATCCTTCGACAGTGATGTCTCCACCGTGGAGTCCCCAAGAGACAATGGTGAGGGGCCGAGGGGAGAGGCGGTGTTCCCTCCAAAGTGGCTCCCACTGTACCCCCTTGTCGGCCCCCGAGGGGGCAAATCCTGCAGCTGTTGCTGCTCACACTGGGGGTTAATCCAGGAAGCTTTGTGCCTCATGAACCTGACGTCTGAGTGGCAAGGGGACTGGTCAGTGTCCAGGAGGCTGGGAGAACCATCAATGTCGCCAGGGTCATTGCCGTCCCTTTCCCACGAGTCCACGGGAGAATCCTGCCGGCCTGTAGACTGTGACACCATCTTCCCAGGCTCAGGGTGGTGTGAGTTCCGCTGTGCTACTGGATTAGGGCCTTGAACTCACCAGGAGGCCAGCCGGGGGCCAGACAGCTTATCTGCAATGAGCAAAAATCATTCAAGATAAATAAGAACGCAGTCATATTTTTAACTCCAAAATCTTTTGAGGAGAAGAAACAAAAAATAAATAAGTTTGTACTTCACCCTGTACAATACAGTAAATTCCACTTGGATTTACAAGAAATAACTAAACAAACAGATCAATCAATCAATCAATCAATCAGCAATACAACTAGCAGCAGATACAGGAGGCATGACTTTGGGACAGGAAAGGGTTTTCAAGGCATAAAGATAACTGAAGATTGCTTTTTTTAAGGATAAAGTCATATATGCATACTGTTGATAAAACAGATTAAAGTGTAAGGCAGCGGTGCATTATTCCAATAAAATTAAATGTCAAACCCCAAATGGGAATACCATTGGGAAGTAAAGACACATTTTCGCAGTTTCTTAGTTTCTTGTTCCTATTTAGTCTGTGTTTGTATTTCAACAAAGTAGACAAGTGGTATGTGAAATTGAGGACAACCACTAGCACTAAAAACTTTGTTTCATGTAATTTAGATTATAATACTGAATTATAATAGGTATAGAAATCTGTGATTAGCTTATAATATCTAAAGAACACACTGTGAATCTAGGGTTTATCTTTTCTTTTCTTTTTCTTTTTTTTTTTTAGACAGAAAGAGAGAAGGAGAGGGGACACAGGGAGAGAGAGAATCTTAAAAGACTCCATTCCCAGCATGGAGCCCGATACAGGGCTTGATCTCACAACCCTGAGATCATGACCTGAGCCGAAATCAAGAGTCGGCTGCCTAATCGACTGAGCCACCCAGGCGTCTGTCCCAGTTTGCTCACATTTAAGCTCAGTGTTTGGCTCTAGTAAATAAGTCATGATTAAAATGTCGAGAGCTACTCCAAGGGGAAGCACTCTGGTCACCATAATCACAGGCCCAGCGTGTGTCCTACTGCTCCCACTGTCCTTCACCCTGTGAGGCTCAAGGCAACCTTCAACAGCAAAAGTGAGGTCAGCAAGGGGAAGGCCTAGAGATGGAAGCAGTCGGCTTAGGTGAGCTTAGCTTAAAGAAATGGTGGAGAACAGAGGTACAAGGTGGTGAGCTGAGACTCTGGAGTCAGTTTCAGTGTTTTAAATACTAGTGTTATGTATACAGATGGCTCCCACCTGGATCCCTGCTCCTGACCTCCCCTGGGACCACAGACTAGCATATCTTACTGCCTTTCTGACCTTCATCCAAGGGACATCGCAAACTAACACATCCAAACAGACCCTAATTTCCCTCAAATCTGCTCCTCCCTGGTTTTCCCATCCCAGGAAACATACCTCCCAGTTGCTGAAACCCAAAATCTAGAAGTGATCTCTGATCCTATCTTTCTGTAGCTCTCCATCTTTAATCCATTAGCAAGTTCATATCCATAGCTACCACCCTCATCTAAACTGCCATCTTCTCCCATCCATCTTCTCCTTCCATCTGCCCAGTGGGTCTCCCTGGTTCTACTCTTGACAACTTGTAATCAAGAGGTACGCAAAGATCTTTTATAAGCCTACATCAGATGTCAGTCCCCTAATCACCAACCCACCCCCATCCCATCGAATCTGGAATAAAATCCAAAATCCTTACCTTGTCCTTAAGGCATGACATGAGAGTGCAGACCACGCTCACTTATCTCTGTCCACCCCCAATAAGTCCCGATCACACGGCAAACTCTTACGTCCCACGGGCTCTTGCCCACCCTAATGGTGCTCCGCCTGGACCGCTCTTCCCCCAACTGATTGTACGTCTGGCTCCTTTCTGCCTTGTTGCATGCTTTGGTTTATAAATTACTTCCTCAAAGAAGTCTTTCCTAACTACCTCTCTTAAAGTAGTTCCCCAGTTACTCACTATCACATCATCTTGCTTAATTTTCATTATAGTCGCCTCACTTCCTGATATATTTTTTACCTCTTCACTGTCATTCCCCTCCACCCCCTCCCTATAAGTCCATGAGAGCAGGGACCTTGTCTGTTCTCAGCCAGATGCAGAGCCACCTATGGGGGCTCAACAAACTTATGGACTGAATGAGCAAATCCAACAAAATGGAAATAGTGTCATGAGCTAGAGAGAAGATTTCTGTGATAGATACACCTGTTCTGTTACTCTGGCAGAATTATTCATACAGGGATAGAAGTGAATCCATGTTTCCTAAAGATAGGACATTTTTCTCACCCAACACTTACAAATAGACCAAAGGAAGGTACATGGGAAAACTGTACCACAATTCCTTGGGTTTTCTTGATTTGGGGGCCTTTCTTTCTAGGTCAAACCTTTTGAAGTGACACATACACATAGATAAGATACACATAATACTGCACAGTACTGCATAAGCTCCAAATCACTGCCCACCAAGTATCACAGGCTATGGTGGCGACTGCCAGAATTCATCTGAAGTGCTTCGTCTTCCTTCTCCAAACCTCACATCCACCTGGTGCCCCGATTTCTCGTCGCCCATCTTCTCCTCTCCAATAATTTTGGGTGTCATCATTACAAATGGGAACCACGACTGTGTTTTTATGGAATGCCCAAAACACAGAAGCCTAGAGCGAGTGAAACACACACATGGGCCCAAACCCGCCAATCCCACCTCATGCCCAGAAATGACACTGGTAACCACTTTATCCCTTCTAACCTCTTCCTATGAGTTAACATACATATGTCAGATCAGAAGAGGGGACCCATACACATGGGCTCATACTGGACAGAATCTATAATGAACTTTCTTTTTCTCTCAACAAGGTCTTGAGGGTGCTTATCACTCTTCACTATCTTACCATTTTCTATAGTATAAATGTATCAAAATTTACTTAGCCAGACTCCTATTGACGGAAATTTATTTTCAGTTTTTCACTATTATAAAACATACAGCAATGAACATCTTTGTGTTGCTTTTTGTTGATTTTCTCCCACTAGATCTCTTCTCTTACAAGTTCCAATTTTAGTTCTGAGTCCGTAGTTCCTGATAACATCAGTATTTCTAAGAGAATGAAGCTATGAGTCATGTTTTACGCTCAATTCCCTACATGTCATAGCTGTTCTTGTGTGGGGGAGATACGTATAGATGTGAAATCACATAAAAATGCACAGCCTCTAACCAATGGTAAGTAGCAGTGATCTCTGTGTTTTTTAGTTCAAAAAGAATGATGTTGTTTATGAGCCTTCCAGATATGGAATTGACTTAACTGCACTGAACAAAACAGACTTTCTTCTCAAAAGTAATTTCAGAACAGGTGCTTGCTCCATTTCCTTCTAGAAAGATGTTCTTGTTTCACACAAATAAACAGCAGGCGTTGGCTTTTCTGGGTTATACAATGAGAACATGTTAGAGCTGGAATAGGCCCGTAGAGATTCAAAGCCATGTCTAAGGACCCAGCTGAGTAGTGGCAGAGAGAGGATGATGAGGAGGGTTGGACAGTCATTAAGGAGCATGAGTTTCTCTGAGAGGGAGGCTCTCAGGGGAGAGTTATGATTCAAAACAAAGTCCAGGCCCTGGTCCCCAAGGTCAACATCTCCATTGCTTGATCTTTGGGGCAACAGATAATTCATGAGATACCATCATATCATTGCATTGCTCATTGTCACCTTGCTTGTAGTTTGTTAATTATTCGACTAAACAAATATTTACTGAGCATCTACTACTTGACTGGCATGGCTTTTATTCTGGAAGCACCGGAGTAAAATAAGCTCCATGATTCCTCCAGTAGTTTATGTTCTGGTAGAGGGGACATGGTGACTAACCTTACACATTCATACATTTCAGTGCTGATAAGCAGGAGGTAATATGGGCCTAAGTGATGGCTGGCGTCTTCCCAAAATGTTCCCGACTATCATAAATGGGGAATCAAAGAGGCTTAGATACAAAGATAAAATCAATTTCCAAAAACATTTTAAAGGAAGAGAAATCAAATTGCAAAGCTTACCGTCATTTCTATCGAGATTTTCCTATTGAGGGTGAGCACGGGCCAGATTACTGGTTAACATATATGCAGGAGCAACGGTCCTAGACAAAAGAGAGACTCCTGGACCACCCCCCCAACCAAGTCATTCTGGATGGGTCTCTGGTCCTCAAAGTCAGTGGTTCTGTCGAGAAGGACTGCATCACGAGGGCAACCTCAGAGCCAGAGTACTGTGGACAACTCAGTTGGGCATGAGCCACCATGACCTCTATAGTGACCTCACAAAAGTCTTTCAGATCATAACCGGCCAGCACTTTGATGGCAGAAGAGCAGCTTTTAGCTGCTAAGACCCCTAACAATCTTATGAATAGGCACAAGCAGGTCAGATTTAGGGTTTCAGATTTTCTCTGCCCCAGCACGAACTACTGACAGAATACATTACTGGGAGCATTAAAGACTCATCTTAAATGTTACCTTCTCAGCAATGGCTCCATGGTCCCCCATATAAGTCATGGCAACTGCCTCAGCCATGAATTCCTCTCCCCCACCCACCTCTAGTTTTCTTCTTACTCCTTAGCACGAATCCCCATCTTATTTAATCTCAAAGATTAACATCCTCTAGAATGTAAAATCTCTGAGGGTAACTTCTTAAAAAAATTCTACCTGGACACGATTTTGTCCCCAGAACGTAGAACAGGGGCACATAATAGGTGCTCAGCAAATACATCCTTCAAGTGTGAATAAAATGAATGAAAGAATGAACGAACAAACAGTACCTAAGTATGGCTCTGTTGGTTATTTCTGTTTCCCAAGAAAGAAAGTCTAGAATAGATGTCACCCTTTAGAAGAAACTGGAGATCACGACCTAAAATTTCTGTCAACCACTTCCTTAGAATAAAGGAAGTTAGAGAATAGAAATCACAAATAAGAGTTGAAGTGAAAGATAAAATTCATTTATGCCGATTTTCGGGTGGCTTCCTGAGCGTGCTCAATAATAAACAAATGCAAGTGAACAGACAGAGTGTCAGCTATTTGGGGTTAACGCAGTTCCCCAGTCCTCTTCCCATCTTTCCGTATCTACTTCCCTTCAAGCTTTGACTTTAAACAGACTCACATCCCCAAAGGATGGCGACAGACTCACACGATAATTTGTCAAAGAGAAACCATTAAGATGCCCAATCAAGTGACTCCACAGCTTCCGCAAAGCGTCCAGGAATCGGAGTAAACCGCCATTTGCACACAGCTGCAATTTCACCACAACACATGCTGAACTCTGTGTTCTGGCACGAGAAGCACCAGGAAGGAAACAATGCATTGCACGGACTCCTCTCCAACCAACTTGACCTTTGAAATGACCCCTAATTTTGAAGGTCTGCTGTCAAAAGAACCCAGAGGAAGGACAGAAAGCAATTATGACAAATGGGTGTAGTGAGAAGGGGAAGACCCAACAAAGGCAAAGACCAAGGAACATAGATATTTTGCCTAAGAAAATTGCAAGGTTGCCCAAGATACACAGATGACTAACTTCCTGTGGTCACTGCGTATGTCACACTTACCACTCTCATTCTACATGATGATAACATGAAATATTTCAGGTTTTGTATGCTGATCTGGGAACTGAAATAAAGAATGTTACGGGACTTGTCCAAAGCCTCAGCATGAATAACTACCGGAAGTAGAACAAAAAACAAGTCTGACACCTGATCCAAAGCTCCTTCCACTGATATTTATGTATGCCATAAATATTAGGATAATTGCAATTTCATTGGCAAAGTAATTTTAAGAATTTTCCCATGAGATCTGTCACAAAACAAAGGATTAAAAACCACACCACTATATTTGATTCCATGTTTTTAGAACACCATGCCCGGAATTTTATGATTATACCTATTTATAAAAAAACAAACCAAATCATTGTACATACATCTCCAGTATGGGACTATTTATTTATAAACCTTATATGTGCACAGCTATTCTAATATATTGTGTAACTTAAAAATTCATGAAAATAGCAGTCTGTTCTTCCTTTCCAATAAATCATCTTGTATCCTAAAGTTATATACCACCACTCAAATAAGTAAAACCTTCTCTATATAAAAACAATAATGAATAAAAAATTACATATCTATGAATATTAGACAACTGAATAAGACTTACAAAAATATTAATACAAACATTTACGCAAAGTAAGGGTAGGTACCTACCCTTGAATGATGGCGAGGTTCCCATGTTTGAGTAAAATAAAATGGGGATCCATGTCAGAAAACAGTCTGGCAGTTCCTCAAATGGTTCAACATACAGTTATCATTTGACCTGGCAATTCCACTCCCGGGTATATACCTGAGAGAATGAAAGCAGATGTTCACACAAGCACATGTGCACAAATGTGAATGGCAGCATTATTCATAATAGCCAAAAAGTGGAAACCACCCAAATGTCCATCAACTGATGGATGGGTAAGCAAAGTGTGTGACCACCAGAGAATGCAGTATTATTTGGCCACAATTAGAAGTCATGTATTAAGACATGCTGCAGTGTGGGTGAGCCCTGAAAACATTATACTAAGTGAAACAACCAGTCACAAAAGATATTTCATATTGATAGATGTTTTTTTATGAAATGTCCAGAATAGGGAAATCCATAGAGACAGAACATAGATTAGTGGTATTTCGGGGGAAGGAGAGAGAATAAGAACATAAAGAGTGATAACTAAAGGGTACAGGGTACCTTTTTGAGGATCTAAATGTTCTAAAATCAACTGTGGAAAGGATGACACGTATCTGTGAATATACTAAAACCACTGAACTGTACACTTTAAAAGTGCATTTTTTTTAAAGATTTATTTATTTGAGCAGGAGGAGGGAGGGGCAGAGGCAGAGGGACAGAGAATCCCAAGCAGACCCCAAGCTGAGCGTGGAGCCTGAGGTGGGGCTCGATCCCACGACCCTGAGATCACAACCTGAGCTGAAACCAAGAGTCGGAGTCTTCACCAACTTAGCCATCCAGGTGCCACTGAACTGTACGCTTTAAATGGCTGGATTGTATGTTATGTGAATTCTATCTCTATCTCAATAATGCTGTCCAAAAAAATGAAATGGGAAGAAGTTCCCATCTCCCTTCAAAAAGGCGTAGGAAGCCTAGAGAGTGCTTGAATCGCACGGGCTCCAGGGTCGAGGGTTCAGAAGAGCTCCAGCTGTAAGTCAGGCTGCAAACACAGGTGCTGAAAGCTAAGGGGGAAATGGAGCGTAGATAAAGGGAATACAGAATATAGGTGCCTAAAGTCGGTACGGAGAAGAGAGGGGAAGTGGAAGTGAAATTGCCACAACTGAATTATCTGGAAAAAGAAAAGAGAAAAAAACAAAAACCAAGGGCTGGTTGTCTGTTGACAACAACAAAGATGTTGTCTTTACAACATCATGAGCATGATGGCAACCAACACCTGGGCACCAGTTGCCGGACCCTACAGGGCAGTCCAGGCATCCACCCTCATTCATCTTCAGGCCAGGGCTGTAAGGGAGGTTCTGCTGGTCCCAATTTATAGATGGGAAACAAAGTCAACACAGTTAAGTATTGTGCTTCTGTGTGATTAAGAGCCTATCTTTGAGAAATATATACAGACGTATGTAGAAATCATTGATGGAATTTCTGACATCTGCTTTAAAATAATCCAGTAGGAAGTGCCAGCCGGGGATATGGATGAAAGCCAATTGGTCATGTTGATAATTTGATAATTGTTGAAAATGGGAAGAGGGTACATGTACTATTCCCTCTACTTTTTTTTTTCCAGATTTTTTATTTATTTTTTAATGGCGAGAGAGACAGCGAGAGAGGGAACACAAGCAGGTAGAGTGGGAGATAGTCCCTCTACTTTTAAGTTTGAAATTTTCCATAAGCAAACTCCCTAGGTAAAAGTAAAAAAACAAAAAATAAAAACAAAAGTAGGGGCGCCTGGGTGCTCAGTCAGTTAAGCATCTAACTTTTGATTTTGGCTGAGGTCGTGATCTCAGGGTTGTGAGATGGAGCCCAGGGTCGTGAGATCGAGCCCCAGGCCAGGCTCCACACTGGGCCTGGAGTCTGTCTGAAATTCTCTCTCTCCCTCTGCCTGTCCCCCAACCCCTACCTTGCATACATGTGTGCCCTCTCTCTCTCTCTCAAAAAAAAAGTTGAAAAAAACAAATTAAAAAAAAAGAAAAATTCCATTGACAGATAAATGGATAAAGATGTGATACACACACACAGGAATATTATGCAGCCATCAAAAAAAATGAAATCTTGCCATTTGCAACAATGTGGATGGAACTAGAGGGTATTATGCTAAGCAAAATAAGTCAATCAGAGAAAGACAATTATCATATGATCTCACTGACATGTGGAATTTAAGAAACAAAACAGAGGATCATAGGGGAAGAGAGGAAAAAATAAAACAAGATTAAACCACAGAGGGAGACAAACCATAAGAGACTCTTAATCATAGGAAACAAACTGAGGGTTGCTGGAGGGGATGGGGGTGGGGGGATGAGGTAACTGGGTGACGGACATTAAGGAGGGCATGGGATCTAATGAGCACTGGGTATTATATAAGACTGATGAATCACTGAACTCTACCTCTGGAACAAATAATACATTATATGTTAATTAACTGAATTTAAATTAAAAAAATAATAAAATGAAATAAAAATTTTTTAAATTAAAAAAAAGAAAAAATGTCGACACTGCTATGTCTGTCCATGTATCCCTGAGTTACCTCTCTGACCTTCCCTAGTACCTCTCCATCCCTACACCTCTATACCCTTCTGCACCCCTACACCCCTCTATACTCTTCTACTTGCACTCCCTTCTTTATTCAAATTTCCCTTTGGAATGAGAATTTCCTCATCACCCTTTTTAAAACTGCATCCCTAAGGTGTACGCTATCCTCGTTTACTGCCCTATTTTTTTTTTCCCAGAGCACTCTTCTTCTATTATCTTAGCCATCGTTATCAGTTCATAACTAACACATGGCATTTACTATGTGTCTGACACTGTTCTAGATTTTCTACACTCACACGCACTTGATCCTTCTAACAATCTATGAAGTAGATATAACAACACTAGAACCCGAGGCACCGCTTGTAACTGGAGTGTTTTACATCCAGGCAGTCTTGCTCCCAAGTTCACATTCTTACCTGTGACAGCACAGGGATAAAGGAAGGACCTTTAAATCTCACAGATCCAAACATCTCTCCAGAATATCAAAACTGATCAAGCACGAAGGGGCTGCCGGCAATATCAGTGACATGCTTATGCTTACCTCCCTGGGCCCAAATCTCCACAGGGACCAAGAGTTTAAACTAAGAATGAGACCAAAACCAACAAACAAAAAACACATTTTATATATGTCATAGGACAGTTCAAATGATTCGACGACAGCCATATTGCTTAAAATACCCTTAAAATGTGCATAAACAAAAGTTCAACTCTCCTGACCTACCATATTTAAAATAGCCATCCCTTGAGCTGGCTTCTAAGAAAAATCTCCAAATAAAGAAGGAGAGAATAGGGAAGTACGTTACATGTATTTCCTGGACAGTTGTTTTCTGACCCACTACAGATTGCTGAAATAAAAGAATGTGGAAGAGTTTAAGGCCACCCCGCCCTCCAGTCTTCAGCTCCTGAAATCAAGAAGACAAAAGCATCTGCTGGTCCTGAGTGCTTTTCAACCTGACCTGCCCCCCCAAAACTTTGAGGTCTAATTTACATTTATCTCTTTTAATAAGTGTAAAACTAAGGATCCAAGAACAGAACTAAAGTATTTTCTTAAAGTAATTTCCAAACATTAATTGTTGGGCAGATCACATTTAAGTGTGTAGATTATTTCGGCTTTTTCTCCTTTGTCATTTTCCAGCCTACATTGAGGATGACAAAAACACTTGCCTCTGAAACTTCCTTTTACATAATGGAAGTGTTTCTCTTTCACAGTTCACGCTTCATGTTCCAGTGAGAAATAAAACATTCATTCAATATAGGATAATTATGACTATTTTATGGATGAGAAAACTAAGGCCCAGGAAAAGGAAGTAAAGTGAAGACCACACAGCAACTCAACAGCAAGCTCAGCACTGGGACATGGAACCTTGCTCCTGAACCCCAATCTCACCGTCATGCTGCCTGTATGTATGGGATAAAACACAGTGCAGAAGTTAAGAAAAAAACACCAGGGTCCCAATCAAATATAATTTTTATGTCAATCTGAGAAATACCTCACTTACTAGCTGTGTGACCTTGGGTAAGGCACTTAACCTCTCTGTGCTTCAGTTTCTTTACAGATTGTTGTGAGAACTAAATGAATTCTCAGTCTGGCACACAATATTCAATAAAAGTTAGCTTTATCATCACCATCAGTGTTATTTAATAAAAACTTACAGTTCAGTATACAACAGCACAACTAAGGAGAGCTAGTTTTATTTCCCAACTTCATAAATGAGTCACCTCTCAACTCCTTTTAATTAAAATGAAAAACCAATCAGAGAGTTTGGTGACATTGACATGCTCACCTTATTTATCTTTTTAGAAAAGATATATACAATATAACATACAGGCATTAGGATTGCTCATGTTTATAATGGCTGGAAGGTTGGACATGCTTATTTAAAAAGAACTGCTTAAATTGTAACAGTAACACCACCCAACCTTGTGACTCTTTCCTTTCCATATTAGAAACATGAATCTAAATTTAGTAACAAGGGAAACTATTTAAATTTGGCAATGCTATTATTGGTGTGCCCTCAGACAGGTGGGGAAAACCTGTTAGCAAGCAATGGTACTCTTTCTTTAGCTCTTTACTATCTTCCTCTAAAGATCATTCGAATGAAAAATGCTTATTCTTGCATATTTATCCTTGGCTCTGACAGAGTCTTCCCCAATCAGAAAACAAGAACTCCAACTTCAGAAAGCCAACAATGTTTTCAGAGTTAAATGGTCTCATGAAGAGCATGTCAAATAATGAAACCCGCCCCCC